GTTGGTGAGTTTCACAAAATCGCTTCTGCTTATCCAGAGCAACACACATATGGACAGGTTTTTGCTTTGTTTACTGACTGAATAATAACCTTTTAAATGTAATTATAGAAATGCCCCATACCGTTTCACCAATGTTGAGGTGTAGAGAAAAGCAACTCTTCTTACATTCTACGGTTTCAAATATATATTGACACACCAACAACGTTTGAACTTGGAAGTCGGTAATTTTAGACTTGAAAGTGCATGGAAAATATAAAAAATAAATCAGTTCATGTCACCCTGTAGTTCTTCTTGGTCCTGTCCTCTTTCAAAAAGGCCTGTCGAGAAAGCTGTCATCCACAAATAACCACACTGTTGATAACACGTGTGATGAGTCATTGATTTAGCATAGGAAGAGCAGCGGACCCAACACTGTGCCCTGTGGGACACCAGTGTCAACGAATCATGCAAATTTAGCTTCTAGCGACATTTTAAAACCCTCTTTCCAATATATATTGACACACCAACAAAGTTTGAACTTGGCAGTCGGTAATTTTAGACTTGAAAGTGCATGGAAAATGAAAAAAAAAAATCTTTATAATATGTTTATGTCACCCTGTACAGTGGTTCCCCTACCATTGTCTTTTCTTTTTTTGTTATATATATATATAGCACCAAATTGCAACTGAAGTAATCTGTCTACGGTCACTTTTCACATTGAACATGTGCTCTTTTATTAAATAAACTAAACGCTTTCATTTTAAGTTGTGAGTGTAGTGTTTTTGACCCTAAGAAACACTGATGCAATAATCAATAACTATAATTGTTAAATGATTCAGTCAGCTCCCCCCCAAAGCATTAAACCTAGGGGAAACACTGCTGTAGGTCTTCTTGATCACATCCATTTAAAAAGGCCTGTAGATCAAGTAGTGATCCATAAATAACCACACTGTTGATAACACATGTGATGAGTCATTGATTTAGCATTGGAAAAGCAGCGGGCCCAACACTGTGCCCTGTGGGACACCAGAGTTAACAAATCAAGCAAAGTTAGCTTCTAGCGACATTTTAAAACCCTCTTTCCAAAACAATCAGTGAGTGGAACATGCTGCCAAAGAACATGTCCACAGACTTTGTGTTGTCAAATAATAAGAGACATTTATTGAAGATGAACCACCCGCCCACTGAGCGCGATACCTCTGGGTTCGGCTCAGTTTTCTTCCAGATCCAGGGGCTCCGGTGCGACTGAACAATATTTAGACGAAATTACTGCAAAACCCATTTGACTTTATTGCAGGTTTATTATACATTGTGGACAATCTGGATTTTGCACAACAAAATAAAGACATTTAAGAAAACAATGACATAATGTGCAGCCAACACCTGCAGTTGTACTAAATAATGACATGTTTGTTAAAAAAATACGAATACTTTACATCCCGTTATAGTGTGTTGCAGTATATTCAACCTTGCATCCTAAAAACATACCGTACTTTACAAACTCCAAAGTTCATATCATGAAACATGAGCTGACACTTTATGCATGTGAGCTGTAACAGCAAAATGAATATAAATACAAAGTGTACAGAAAAGTCCTTCAAGGAAAATAATCTGAGATCTTCAACAAAACAAGGGAAATAGCTTTTCAAATGAAATTATAAACAGTGTGTTTTTGTATGGATTATTTTGTGTCTGCAATTTGAAAGGGTCCCAGTCCTCAACATTTATTTTCGCTGCACATGGATTCGGCAAATGCTGCTTTTGCTTTGCCACAAAGAATCTTCACGGTTATCCAATATATTGGTTGTGTTCTGTACACGTTTTAATTGTCTTTCTTGCACCACAAATGTTTTTTTGTTTGTTACAGCACCTGACAAACGCCATCTTGAATTCATTTTCAAGCACAAATATCTTTTTTCCAGAGAGCACCAAAGTGGGTGAGAAGTGCAGTATGGAGTGTACAAAGAGCCCGAGAATCATAGTGCAACTTGTGATGTCAAGGATCACATCCATATTCTATACAGGCTACTTGGTGTACATTTCTAAAGGGACCTTTGTTCAACCAGGAATCCCTGTACTCTATTCTGAATGTGCCATGTGTAGAAGGTAAGACTGGCCAAGGCTCCAGAAACCTTTCCGGAACAGCAGCTGTATAAGTCTCACGTCCCTCGCACTGAACAACACTGATCTTGTTAGAGTTTGTCCCAAATCTCCCTACACAGGTAGCTAAATGTTACACAATCAGGACCAACAGAAACAGTGGAGAAATGTGGGAACACCATCTAGATTGACAAGTTTCAGAACTTCCTTTAAACTTGGTTGTCTGCATTTTAACACAGTGGTGCTGAGAGTCAAACCACCACAGGTGACACAAAATGATGACGATATAAAGTATAGTTTGGGTCTTTTCAATCAGAATCTTCCCAGAGTGCTTGAATAAAACTATGTACCGAGACAGGTGGATAGTTACATACACCTCTTTTAAACTCAGGTGGCTTTTAGGGCTTTTGTCAAATCACCACCAAGACCCAAGTAAAACTGGAGGGATGAATTGTCTTTCTTTCTTCTATCAGAACGATTGAAGTATTTTCACTCCAAGTGTTCTTACCGGCAGCATCTAGTGGCCATCAGAGGAACAGCTGGATGCCATTTCTCCACTCGATGTGCTTGTAGCGCTTCACTGTGCTGTGACTCTTAAAAGAAAGCCGCAGGGGGGGGGGGTGCTAGTGGATCGCCGGAGCTGTATTAGATTAACATTAACATGCTTATTGTAGTTGCACTGCCTCGCAGCCTGTAGCACCATCCTTGATGGAGCATATGTGTGGGCTGGAAAGGAGTGAGCAGAGGGGGGAGTTGTCGATTCTTGTTCTGTTTTCTGTGACTATCTTCCTCACCCTCTCAGACTTTCAGTTGCGCGCGCTACCATGGAAACAAAACAATGGTGTAGCTGTATTAAAGTCCGAGTGGAAACAGTCCTGAGTAAATCTGATTTTGTTAGAAATCGGGAGAAATGCGGGAGAAATATGACCCTGGGAGGAAACCGGGAGAGGGCAATGAAATCGGGAGTCTCCCGCGAAAATGGGTTGGCAAGCATGGGGCCGGTCGGTTAAGTCACGAGCACCCCCCCCCCCCCCCCCCCTTGACAATTCACTAGCGGTATTTACTTGCGGCACAAAGTTAGATCTATAAAACAGGTGAAGTTCCCTGCCATAGATAAAAGACTGAGCCTGAATGAGCCTGGATCACCACTGTTTCAGAGTTTCCTTTTGTGTTCTGTGCACCTGCCTGCAGTGCTCAGATCAGTTGGAACAACCTTCAGCCTAGTGATATTACGTTGGCGAATGATCCGATTCTTTTGAACGAACTAAGGGAACCGAGTCGTACTTGATGAGAGCCGTTCTTTTTATCGTTGGTTCACTGCCTGCCATAAATCCACTCGCCTTTACGGGAACTCGCTTTCCTGAATGCACATTTTCCGTAGATGATGATGGCATAACGCGTGTTGCTTGAGTAGTAGTTTGGCTGGCCGAGAGATCTAGCAAGTTAAACATTTTTCTGTGAGTAAAAGTAGATTTCTGGCAATACAGTCAATCATTATCCTGGTGGTTATTTCGCAGATAAACCTATTAACGCCGCCCCCTTAAAAAGAAAAACGGCTCTTTTGAACGGCTCTCGGAAAGGAATGGAGCCATAAGAAGAGCCGTAATTCCCATCACTAATTTTCACTCCAAGTGTTCTTACCGGCATCATCTAGTGGCCATCAGAGGACCAGCAGCTCTACTGTTCTGGATACTCCTCTAACACCAGAAGCCATTTTCCACAGTCCATGCTTCACTGTGCCATGACTCTTAAAAGAAAGCCCTCCTCTATGCACTAGTTGGATCTATAAAACGACTACAGTGTAGAGTTTTACGATAAATGAGCTAAGTGCTGAACACATTTCAGTGAGTGAATGAGCCTGGATCACCACCTGTTCAGTGTTTCATTGTGTGTCCTGTGCACCTGCCTGCAGAGCTCAGATCAGATGTAACGCCCCTTCAGATGAGTCTTTCCTCCGGGGGCACTTTGAGCATGCTGTCCATCTCCAGCCGAGCTCCAGCCACCTCCTGAGTGCTGGGGCTGTACGCGCCCTCCGACTGGCGCTTCTTCCTGGCCGTGAGCACCATGAAGGTCAGGCCGATGACCAGGATGAGAACGCAGAAGCAGAGCAGCGGCAGGGCCACCATCAGCCACGGGATCACCTGTTTCTGAAATTGTTTCTGCAAAGGAAGGAGGGCAGAGATTCAACTGAAGTTTCAAGGCTTTTATTGTCATGTGTGCATAGCTACAGTGTAGTTATGACAATGACAATCTTAGGTCACAGGCTCCTCCAACAGTGCAACACAATCAAATAGATGCATGGATGTGCAAGTATGTAGTCTTCAACAGGAACGTGCGGAGGATGCTGGCGATTTTCGATAAATATATGCGTTGAATAACAACTTTTGTGGCAGTTTTAAGGGATATTATAATGTTTGTATTTAAAACAAACACATGGGGATGGTTCAAACATTTCAACATGACAGATAATTAATGATAAATGCAAAGAAATTAAGTATTTTTCAGTCCAATCTTCTCACATGTTGACTAACCCACAGTGTTGCCGACAAAGATGCACTTCCTGTCTCGCCTTCATTACTTTCAAATTCTAGCGCACTCGAGCTGCTTTCTCCATTCTTACCTACCCTACCTTTCATTGTTATATTGTTATATATCATTTTTTATGACAATAAAATCTTTTAATTTGTAATCTTGAATCTGGGTAGTTTCCAAAAATAAATTATTATGGATTGTGTCCAAGGCAAGATTAGGTATAATGCACTTTTCAGCACAAGGCAGTTGAAAGTGCTTTACACAAATGAAAGATATTAAACACATTAGAAACATTAAAAAGCATAGATAGTAAAACATGAATAAAAGTGACAGAGCAGTGTGAGATGTGAATAGTTCAATTAAAAGCAGCGGCAAAAAGAAAAGTCTTCAGGCTTGATTTAAAAGTAGTCAGAGTTGCAGCGGACCTGCAGGTTTCTGGGAGTTTGTCCCAGATATTTGGCAAGACCCCTAACCAAATGCTCACACTCCTCTACCCCTAGTCTCCCCGTGAAGAGGGTCAAAGCAAAACAATATGTCCTCAAAGTGATAAAGCAACAGCGCTGAACTCTCTGGCTTCTAAACTCTGAATGCTCTCTTGTGTTCGCAGCGGATGGACCTGAGTGTGGGCGAACACTCCCGAACTCTTCCAGGTCTCAAACTCTCCAACCCTTACAACAAGCTGTGGAGTGTGGAGCAGGACGTCTGCGGGCCCCCCCTCTCCGACAGACCTCCATCCGTCCAACTTCCCTCGCAGATGGAAATCCACTCTCTTAGCCCGAGTCCATGCCTTGACACCTTGGATCCTTCCACCTCCGGGAACATCACCATCCCTCGTCCTCAAGGTAGAAGAACGCCAGAGCTCGGCGGTGTGTTAGCGCCCCCCGCGACGCAAATACGCTCCAAACCAGCAGAAGGAGGTGAAGGAGGGACGTCTTCTTCAGGGGGGCAGGAGTTCAGGCAGGCCCTGAGCATGAGCACCGATGGAGACCTGATGGAGTCCTCCGTGGACAGCATAGATCTGATGAGCCTTCTGGACCCCCTAAGCAGTAGCAGCAGCTCGGCACCCAGCCCCCACTCTTCCAGCAAACCAACACTACCACCCAGGTCTTACCCTCAGGGCTTGCCTCCGTTCCCGATGCACCCTCACATGCCCCTCAACCCTTTCTCCCACTCTCTGCAGAACACACAGATACGTTTCCCACTCACTGTAGGAGGGAATCCTTTCAATGCAGCCTACGGGCATCAAGCAGGCTCTTACTTACACACTCAGCCTCAGTCCTTTTCTACACTACCAGGACTGTACAGACAGAATTCCCCCAGCTATGGACTGCAGCACTTCCCTTCCTCTCGGCCGCTTTTCTCTGCCAGCAATCACGCTCTATCCAGTTTAGCCGACTCTTCTGTCCCCAGTGCAGCCGTGAACTTACTGGAGAAGCCGCTCTGTGCTGATTCGGACAGCCAGAAGACTCAGGATCTGTTCGGGGATCTGCTGACTATGCCCAAGCCAGATAAACCCCCCAAAAAGAAGGTGGAAGATCTTCGGAGGAGGTGGGAAACCTTTGACTGAATATGTACTCTACCCAAACTCTCCTCACTACTGACTCCAGACCTTCTATTGCGTTCAGCTCTAAAACATGCAACACTTACACTGTTTTTTAAAACATTATCTTTATCGTGTGGCATCATTTCCCTGCACGCGAACATTGAAGGTTCTTTGTTGGCTTTATTCAAACTCGGATGAAATGACTCAACCACTTTCTTGTCGTTTCCCTTCAACACCTTTTTGGTTGGATGTCTAAAATAAGATCTGTGGTTAACACAAGTGTAATGTTTGATTCTAGGAGATGAAATACATCAGAAAACACCCCGCTGGTGAATGTCAGACGCCTCCATGTGTCGTAAACACAATATAGACAGTGGTTGCCAACAAGTGACGATTTAATCATCATGCAGAACATTAGCCGCCTTTAGCTTAGCGTGGTGACCTTAAGCCTAACATTAGTTATGTACTTCTGCCGACTGCATTTATGCTTCAACAATCATAGAAGTAGTTTAAATATGTGGAGGTTTTCCTGCTGAACAAAACATGTAGGTTTCATGAACGTGTGTTTGCCACAGAGCTTATTTTCTGCACTATTTCCAAAACACATGGGAAAAATCCCATTGCTTTTTGTGAAGGGAAACGGGAGATGCTAACTTCAGGGTCTGTCACTACATCACTCTATTACCGCCATGAACCACAAATCAAGACTGAAAAAGAGCTTTTATTACCAAAACACAGTTTATAAGTGGAACATGAATTCACATCCACACATATTTATTTATGACTTTTGTTGTACGCTTTTCCGACGTGATTTTCGACTATTGTTGTGTGTCAAACTATCCGAGATAAAGAACCAGTTACTGCGACAGAAGGTCCTGATTCAGTATGTGGGACCCCTACATGCGCACACACACACACACACACACCACTATCATACTTGTCGGACGGATCTTTTGTGTTGTCTTGTTGTCCCAGGGAATCCCACTCAAAGCCTTGCTTCTTGATGTTCAGATGCCAACAGTTCTCATTACCAGATTGCTTCCAAAAGACTCTTAACGCCTCCACATTAGCGAAGTGCTCAGTATAAATGAGTATAGATATGAGATTTAAAAATTAGCTTGCAGTGTTTCTTGAAAGAGGATATATGTCGCACTCACAAAACCATCTTCTACGATTAGCTCGTGTGCTATGAACATCGTAGTGGCATTCTGGTACCGTAGCTACAAAGTGTGGTGCGTCTCAATCATGCAGTCAGGTCACATATTGATGTTTTTTTATAGCTTCATGCACTGTTTTTGTTCAGTTTTCTTGCCTTCATGATGAACCCCATGTTGGCTTGTCTCACTGGCCTGTGAAGATGTGTTGCCTCCTACTGTTTTTTTAAAAGAAACTTAAAAAGAAAGCCTCCAATAGACTGTAATGTCCCTAAAATGATTTGAACATTTCTGTCTAATTAAATATATATGGACTTTGAAACCCTTTTTGTATATTATTGTTGACTAATTCTGCTTTATATATATATATATATGCACTTTTCTTGTGTTGGTTTTGCCTCAGTCAAGTATTACTTTGTGTTTGAAGACAGTAAATGAGAAACTGACTTACACGCTGCTCATACATTGTGAAAAACATGGTTCTTACTCTTCTCTCCACTGTCAATTCAACTGGGAATAATGAGTACACTTAATATGGTAATGTATTAAATTATTCCTGATTATTTTTACCTCTGTTCTTTACAAGTCTTATCTTTAGTATTTTACACAAGACGTCATGGAGAGATAATGAACTTGTGGTCCTCAGAGGGTAAAACGTGACACTTTGTTCATCACCACCCCAATCACAGCCCAATGTCCACTTGTAGAAATTAATATTAAAATAATCTAAACATATTATAATTCACAACACTGAGCTTCTTTTTGTCTGGGTTTCGTATTGGATGTGAAACTTGTTCAAGCGAAGCTATTTGTGTGCATTTGAAATGGATCCTAAGGATAGCAAATGGAGATCTCCGTCACTAGTTAGTTGACCTACTAAGGATATTGATATAAGATAAGATATTGTCATTATACCCTATTTTCAATCTAGAAACACAGACGCTAGGGAATCTGTTTTCTTGTGAATTGCTTGAGGGATTGAAGGTAGTGGTAAGGTTATAACATGTTTAATCATGAACAGAAAAATATACCACAGTTGGTGAGTTTCACAAAATCGCTTCTGCTTATCCAGAGCAACACACATATGGACAGGTTTTTGCTTTGTTTACTGACTGAATAATAACCTTTTAAATGTAATTATAGAAATGCCCCATACCGTTTCACTGATGTTGAGGTGTAGAGAAAAGCAACTCTTCTTACATTCTACGGTTTCAAATATATATTGACACACCAACAACGTTTGAACTTGGAAGTCGGTAATTTTAGACTTGAAAGTGTATGGAAAATATAAAAAATAAATCTGTTCATGTCACCCTGTAGTTCTTCTTGGTCCTGTCCACTTTCAAAAAGGCCTGTCGAGAAAGCTGTCATCCACAAATAACCACACTGTTGATAACACGTGTGATGAGTCATTGATTTAGCATAGGAAGAGCAGCGGACCCAACACTGTGCCCTGTGGGACACCAGTGTCAACGAATCATGCAAATTTAGCTTCTAGCGACATTTTAAAACCCTCTTTCCAATATATATTGACACACCAACAAAGTTTGAACTTGGCAGTCGGTAATTTTAGACTTGAAAGTGCATGGAAAATGAAAAAAAAAAATCTTTATAATATGTTTATGTCACCCTGTACAGTGGTTCCCCTACCATTGTCTTTTCTTTTTTTGTTATATATATATATAGCACCAAATTGCAACTGAAGTAATCTGTCTACGGTCACTTTTCACATTGAACATGTGCTCTTTTATTAAATAAACTAAACGCTTTCATTTTAAGTTGTGAGTGTAGTGTTTTTGACCCTAAGAAACACTGATGCAATAATCAATAACTATAATTGTTAAATGATTCAGTCAGCTCCCCCCCAAAGCATTAAACCTAGGGGAAACACTGCTGTAGGTCTTCTTGCTCACATCCATTTAAAAAGGCCTGTAGATCAAGTAGTGATCCATAAATAACCACACTGTTGATAACACATGTGATGAGTCATTGATTTAGCATTGGAAAAGCAGCGGGCCCAACATTGTGCCCTGTGGGACACCAGAGTTAACAAATCAAGCAAAGTTAGCTTCTAGCGACATTTTAAAACCCTCTTTCCAAAACAATCAGTGAGTGGAACATGCTGCCAAAGAACATGTCCACAGACTTTGTGTTGTCAAATAATAAGAGACATTTATTGAAGATGAACCACCCGCCCACTGAGCGCGATACCTCTGGGTTCGGCTCAGTTTTCTTCCAGATCCAGGGGCTCCGGTGCGACTGAACAATATTTAGACGAAATAACTGCAAAACCCATTTGACTTTATTGCAGGTTTATTATACATTGTGGACAATCTGGATTTTGCACAACAAAATAAAGACATTTAAGAAAACAATGACATAATGTGCAGCCAACACCTGCAGTTGTACTAAATAATGACATGTTTGTTAAAAAAATACGAATACTTTACATCCCGTTATAGTGTGTTGCAGTATATTCAACCTTGCATCCTAAAAACATACCGTACTTTACAAACTCCAAAGTTCATATCATGAAACATGAGCTGACACTTTATGCATGTGAGCTGTAACAGCAAAATGAATATAAATACAAAGTGTACAGAAAAGTCCTTCAAGGAAAATAATCTGAGATCTTCAACAAAACAAGGGAAATAGCTTTTCAAATGAAATTATAAACAGTGTGTTTTTGTATGGATTATTTTGTGTCTGCAATTTGAAAGGGTCCCAGTCCTCAACATTTATTTTCGCTGCACATGGATTCGGCAAATGCTGCTTTTGCTTTGCCACAAAGAATCTTCACGGTTATCCAATATATTGGTTGTGTTCTGTACACGTTTTAATTGTCTTTCTTGCACCACAAATGTTTTTTTGTTTGTTACAGCACCTGACAAACGCCATCTTGAATTCATTTTCAAGCACAAATATCTTTTTTCCAGAGAGCACCAAAGTGGGTGAGAAGTGCAGTATGGAGTGTACAAAGAGCCCGAGAATCATAGTGCAACTTGTGATGTCAAGGATCACATCCATATTCTATACAGGCTACTTGGTGTACATTTCTAAAGGGACCTTTGTTCAACCAGGAATCCCTGTACTCTATTCTGAATGTGCCATGTGTAGAAGGTAAGACTGGCCAAGGCTCCAGAAACCTTTCCGGAACAGCAGCTGTATAAGTCTCACGTCCCTCGCACTGAACAACACTGATCTTGTTAGAGTTTGTCCCAAATCTCCCTACACAGGTAGCTAAATGTTACACAATCAGGACCAACAGAAACAGTGGAGAAATGTGGGAACACCATCTAGATTGACAAGTTTCAGAACTTCCTTTAAACTTGGTTGTCTGCATTTTAACACAGTGGTGCTGAGAGTCAAACCACCACAGGTGACACAAAATGATGACGATATAAAGTATAGTTTGGGTCTTTTCAATCAGAATCTTCCCAGAGTGCTTGAATAAAACTATGTACCGAGACAGGTGGATAGTTACATACACCTCTTTTAAACTCAGGTGGCTTTTAGGGCTTTTGTCAAATCACCACCAAGACCCAAGTAAAACTGGAGGGATGAATTGTCTTTCTTTCTTCTATCAGAACGATTGAAGTATTTTCACTCCAAGTGTTCTTACCGGCAGCATCTAGTGGCCATCAGAGGAACAGCTGGATGCCATTTCTCCACTCGATGTGCTTGTAGCGCTTCACTGTGCTGTGACTCTTAAAAGAAAGCCGCAGGGGGGGGGGGGTGCTAGTGGATCGCCGGAGCTGTATTAGATTAACATTAACATGCTTATTGTAGTTGCACTGCCTCGCAGCCTGTAGCACCATCCTTGATGGAGCATATGTGTGGGCTGGAAAGGAGTGAGCAGAGGGGGGAGTTGTCGATTCTTGTTCTGTTTTCTGTGACTATCTTCCTCACCCTCTCAGACTTTCAGTTGCGCGCGCTACCATGGAAACAAAACAATGGTGTAGCTGTATTAAAGTCCGAGTGGAAACAGTCCTGAGTAAATCTGATTTTGTTAGAAATCGGGAGAAATGCGGGAGAAATATGACCCTGGGAGGAAACCGGGAGAGGGCAATGAAATCGGGAGTCTCCCGCGAAAATGGGTTGGCAAGCATGGGGCCGGTCGGTTAAGTCACGAGCACCCCCCCCCCCCCCCCCCCTTGACAATTCACTAGCGGTATTTACTTGCGGCACAAAGTTAGATCTATAAAACAGGTGAAGTTCCCTGCCATAGATAAAAGACTGAGCCTGAATGAGCCTGGATCACCACTGTTTCAGAGTTTCCTTTTGTGTTCTGTGCACCTGCCTGCAGTGCTCAGATCAGTTGGAACAACCTTCAGCCTAGTGATATTACGTTGGCGAATGATCCGATTCTTTTGAACGAACTAAGGGAACCGAGTCGTACTTGATGAGAGCCGTTCTTTTTATCGTTGGTTCACTGCCTGCCATAAATCCACTCGCCTTTACGGGAACTCGCTTTCCTGAATGCACATTTTCCGTAGATGATGATGGCATAACGCGTGTTGCTTGAGTAGTAGTTTGGCTGGCCGAGAGATCTAGCAAGTTAAACATTTTTCTGTGAGTAAAAGTAGATTTCTGGCAATACAGTCAATCATTATCCTGGTGGTTATTTCGCAGATAAACCTATTAACGCCGCCCCCTTAAAAAGAAAAACGGCTCTTTTGAACGGCTCTCGGAAAGGAATGGAGCCATAAGAAGAGCCGTAATTCCCATCACTAATTTTCACTCCAAGTGTTCTTACCGGCATCATCTAGTGGCCATCAGAGGACCAGCAGCTCTACTGTTCTGGATACTCCTCTAACACCAGAAGCCATTTTCCACAGTCCATGCTTCACTGTGCCATGACTCTTAAAAGAAAGCCCTCCTCTATGCACTAGTTGGATCTATAAAACGACTACAGTGTAGAGTTTTACGATAAATGAGCTAAGTGCTGAACACATTTCAGTGAGTGAATGAGCCTGGATCACCACCTGTTCAGTGTTTCATTGTGTGTCCTGTGCACCTGCCTGCAGAGCTCAGATCAGATGTAACGCCCCTTCAGATGAGTCTTTCCTCCGGGGGCACTTTGAGCATGCTGTCCATCTCCAGCCGAGCTCCAGCCACCTCCTGAGTGCTGGGGCTGTACGCGCCCTCCGACTGGCGCTTCTTCCTGGCCGTGAGCACCATGAAGGTCAGGCCGATGACCAGGATGAGAACGCAGAAGCAGAGCAGCGGCAGGGCCACCATCAGCCACGGGATCACCTGTTTCTGAAATTGTTTCTGCAAAGGAAGGAGGGCAGAGATTCAACTGAAGTTTCAAGGCTTTTATTGTCATGTGTGCATAGCTACAGTGTAGTTATGACAATGACAATCTTAGGTCACAGGCTCCTCCAACAGTGCAACACAATCAAATAGATGCATGGATGTGCAAGTATGTAGTCTTCAACAGGAACGTGCGGAGGATGCTGGCGATTTTCGATAAATATATGCGTTGAATAACAACTTTTGTGGCAGTTTTAAGGGATATTATAATGTTTGTATTTAAAACAAACACATGGGGATGGTTCAAACATTTCAACATGACAGATAATTAATGATAAATGCAAAGAAATTAAGTATTTTTCAGTCCAATCTTCTCACATGTTGACTAACCCACAGTGTTGCCGACAAAGATGCACTTCCTGTCTCGCCTTCATATTTCTCTTACCACCTTTTCCATAAAGCCATCAGGCTCAATGTTTCAGTAACGACGGGCAAAAGGAGGATATTGTGCGGCTAAGAATCGATACTACATTTTATAATTAGTTTAATATAATAACATAGCATATAATACTAAGTGACACAATTGTAAAAAGCAACACATAAGCTTTAGACAAGGTGTATTAGACACAGGTTTCTGTAGGTGTTTTTCTAATCTCATGTTATTGATTAGGAAAAGTACACATCTCTAATAGGAGCTAAAGGGCAGGTGCTCGAGCCCCTTTGAGGTCTATCTGTGCACGTGCCTGGTCTTCAACATTTGTATTTATTTACACAATTACACCGTATGTATAACACGAAAGAAGAGGATGTAAAAAACATACGTTAGTGTCACAGATTGGACCGCTGTAGCCAGGCTGGCATTCACACACAAACATGTTGAATCGATCCAAACAGGAACCTCCATTTCGACACGGGTTGGACACACACTCATCGATCTCCGACTCACACCTGCAACACAGAGAACACACGCCGTCACGTTTAGAAAGGACATCAATATAATGTGTTAGGATGCCCGACGTTTCTTCTTCTCAACATTTGACCTTTTTAGAAATGGAATAAATGAATGAATGAAGTTGAAATGATACAGAATTAAGGAGAAGGACGTTTTTACTGAACTATCTTAAAGCGTATCTTGACACTAAAGCACAAATACAAAACGGATGCTTACACACACAAATGGTAGGAAGACGTGATTTTTTACAGCTGCTATACATATGTTAATATGCCCACAGATCCATAACATTGTATTACGGTCATTCCACTAACCCCATTGTAGTTAGATGTTATGTATATCATTGATATTCCCGAGACATCAGCATCAGGATTGCATCTTTACCAGACACCATTACATTTAAAGGTCACCTATCCTGCTATTTCTAGGCAATAGCATAGGTCTCAGATATATACAAATATATAAAGAACATGTTTATGAAGTGTTTTGCTCAAAATACAAAACAGATCACCCATTCTAGCCATGCCTCATATCCCTCTGTTTCACTTCCTGTTTCAAAAGTGCTGATTCTGGGAATAAAGCTTTAAATACAAAAGAAAATTGATAAATAAATAAAAAAGGAGGGTCTGAGCTCATGGGGGACCCGGCAGCTACTGTCTAAACTAAATGCTGCCGTGATGAAACGCCATATCATGGATTATCAAGGATTCTCTCTGAAACAGTCTGGAGCTCAAAGGCTTTCTCTCTTGCCGGTTATACCACAAGGTGAGTTCCTTTTTACTTCCTGCTTCTTCACACACATGCTCTCCAGTACAGGTTAGCTCTGAGTGTTAGCCATGCTAATGTGAACACCGACCATATTACGTCCAAAACAGTCGGGCATTGTTTCTGATAGCAACGTTTCTGATTGGGCCGTGGGTCCACATTTCAGATATTACGTCATATCGGACGCAAATCTGGATCAGCTCGTTGTAGCCCTGTTTTTAGAGATTTGGGTACGGAGGAAAAGAGAGAGGGTTTTATTTTCTGACGCTGCGTGAGTTCCCCGACACACCGGGGACACATAGTTATTTATGAAAGACATCAAAAAGGGCATTTTGCATGATAGGTCCCCTTTAAGTAAAAATAAAACTTGTTCAAAATAACCATTTAGGACTTTGGCATTGTAGTAAATTCTGTCCAAATCACTCATTGTTACTCTTTATTGTGGCATGTTGAAACATATTGAGCAGCAAGAGGCCTTGTCTCTTTCTGCTGGAATTATTTCTAATTTTGAACGGTTAATAAAGAGGCCTTATTACACTTTTTGGGGTTTTCCCTTTTTCCTGTAGTGTGTTATATAGGTTTTCGTGCATGTAAATGGTCTGCAAAGGCTAAAATCCTGACTAAGCGGTTGACCAATCACAACAGAGCTTCAGGTTTCAGACAGAGGGTGAAAAGAGGTGCTGCAGCACAGGCAGCATGAGAAAAATAAAGAGCTTTCTGAACATTAAAGAGTTTCATCTGAAAGGGTCACATTTAATAAGGAGGTGCATCTAGTACAGGGGTGTCCAAACTACGGCCCGGGGGCCAAATGCAGCCCACGGCCCATTTTGAATCGGCCCTCAGCTTATTCTAAAAGTATAATGAAATAGGGCCCGCAAAATGAAACTTGTGCTTGTCTTATATTGTACTTCTTAAATATAAATGTAAACATATAATACACAGTAGTATTCATGTGTTAAAATAAATTCACTCAATTAAAGTTGGAAACATTTTCAAGCAAATCTTAGTTGATGAAAGTCCAATAACTTAATTCCATAACAAGCTTGAAATGCCCTTCATATTTCCTCTTTTTATAAGCAATCTGAAGCTTCTGTTTTAACCTGTTAAACCCCGAGCCTGTTTTTCAGGTTTCAGGCTCGAAAATGACATTCCCAGAACAAATGACCATATCTTCCCTTCTAAAAGGGTTAAATTAATAATCTGTTTTCTCAAAGTAATGAGTTGGATGTAGAAAAGTCAGATTCAATATAGATGTTTTTATTTTAAAGAAAATTCAGATTGAACATGGTAAAAAACTGTAAATTATAGTGTCCGTCCAAAAGATATTTTGTACTTATAGTGAAAACTAACCTTGGATGATGGGTTAGTAGACTAAAAGCTTTAGGAATCCAAAGTACAACATATAATAAGTACCCTGTCGAGATTGATGCAAAACAAGTGATATTTGACCTTTTTAGACAGATTTAGCAAAACAAACCTCTTCTGGGGCCATTTGGGTGGATTTTCCATATCTCTGGCCCCACTTGCTGGATTTTGAAATCTGACATCTCTTTCTGACCGTCAGAGCCAATGGAATTGAGGGGAACTCCCACCTAGTCCTTATTTGGTAATGTGTGTGTGTGTGAGACTGCCGCATAGCCTAGACCGGAAGCAGCAGCCACTCTGGTCGCTACCATTAGCAGCTAACTTTTGCTCTCCGATTTTTACATAAAAATGGAATTATGAACCGATTCAGCCGCGTTTTTTCTCGTTTTAGTGCCATTGAACACGTATTTTGATCAGATTGACAGCTACGGTGAGACGATCTCCCGAGAAGCGCCGTAAAGGTACGTGTTGTGATGTCTGTGTTTGCTTCCCCTGTCGCGAGTTCGGATCGCTCAGTGATGACACTATATACCTAAATAATCTGTGGAACCTCAGCTTTGATAGGATATCTTGTATGTGCAGCTACGATAAGTAATAAGGGTACTTTTATCTTGAGTTCTGTGCCAATGTCCGTTAGCATTTTTCGCTAAGGGGTCATTTAGATGCTTCTTATGAGACTTGTGTTTTGTTTTGGTAAAAATGGTTTGTATCGTCAGTTAGCTGAGATTATTTCCGTTAATCTGGTATAACACATTAATTCTTTCACACACAGTGACGTCACGAGCTACCCACAATGCAACACGCGCCATATATATATATATATATATATATATATATATATATATAAATACGCCATTTTCAGCCAGGGATGTAGGCTGTTTCATTTTCAAGTATCAAGCATTATTTACCTACATTTGAATGATTTTGCTAACTTATAACTGAACTGATAACGCGATACACCTCACCTCTAGTGAGCGGCTCAGCCCTTTTATTTTTCTGTATGTGGCCCCCAGTGAAACAAGTTTGGACACCCCTGATCTAGTCTTTAACAATATTTGGAAGGAACAAAATATATATCAAAAGTGTGCTCACCTGCTTCCTGTGAATCCGGGCACACAGGTGCAGTTTGCTCCCCACAGTCCATCACTGCAGACGCCATCGTTCTCACAGAGCACGTCTTCAACACACTGTATCGGAGGGTAGTTCCACCTGGTGGAAAAAGAGGGTTAATGTTGTTAGAGATAGCCCAGACATGGCAAAAGTACACACATCCTTTACTCAAGCAGAAGTACAGATACTCGTGTTTAAAAATACTCTGGTGAAAGTAGAAGTACAGACTAAACTTCTTCACTCAAGTCAAAGTAAAGAGGCTTTGAAATGTACTTCAGTAAAAAGTACCCATAACTAGCAGCTGTTTTAAAGAGTACCTGACCTCCCTTTATATCAATAGAACAATAATGTCATTGTTAGCTAATGAATGTTTCCATGCTGAACAACGGCAACATGACAACGTTTCCATTGGTCCCTCTTCTTTAGAGAAGACCAGGAAATGATGGATACACGGATCGTGTTCAAATCAATAGGCACGCAATGACTCTAAAGAATAATGATCACGCATCAAACACACATTCAGACTAAAGGAACCAGCTGTTTGGAAAATGAGAGAAGTAGAAAGTACAGGTATTTGAGTTCAACATGTAAGAAGTAGAAAGTACAGGTATTTGAGTTCAACATGTAAGAAGTAGAAAGTACAGCTATTTGTGTTTGAAATGTAAGAAGTAGAAAGTACAGGTGTTTGAGTTCAACATGTAAGAAGTAAAAAGTACAGGTATTTGTGTTCAACATGTAAGAAGTAGAAAGTACAGGTATTTGTGTTGAACATGTAAGAAGTCAAAGTAAAAACTCGTCAGAAAAATAAGTAGTGGAGTAAAGTACTGATACCAGAAAGATGTACAGTAAGGAAGTATTTGTACTCCACTGAGGGATGGTTCCTACTCACTGGCACAGGGGCCCGCTGTATCCCTTTGGACACACACAGGTGAACATGTTGGGTCCGTCCTGACACGTGCCTCCATGTTCGCAGGGATGAAGCTCACACTCGTTCAGATCCTCGTCACACAGAGTGCCGGCATATCCAGGGTGGCACCGGCACTCAAACCCAGCCAAGTGGTCCCGACAGCTGCCGTGAACACAGGGCTGAGACGCACAGTCATCAGTGTCTCTCTCACACCGATCCCCCTCCCAACCAGGGTCACACACACAGCCAAACTTATTGAACAGGTCTTCGCACGTGGCTCCGTTCACACAAGGGTCCGAATCACACACCGGTTCGCTCCTACAACCCAATCCGATCTTTGGTTTCCCAACTGAGTGGAACTGAGACACCTGGGGGGCTTTATAGTCGTCCACGAAAGGGAGATAGACCCCTCCGACCCTCACTGCTCCCAAACAGCCGGTGAAACTCTCAGCGATGGCCAACGTTGAGGCCTTTTCGTTGAGAAAGCGGATACTTCCTGTCCTCTGAGGGAAGCTGCTGGCGTCCGTGATCCCGTCCACGGTGATGATCCAAGGAGAGGCTTTCCGCCGCTTCTCAGCCATGGAGATGTTCACGCGATGCCAGCTGCCGTCTGCCACTCGACGAACTCCCGTGAAGGCCAGCGACTCCACGTTGTTCCTCGTGTGGATCTCTACCCGCACGGAGGAGTCCACGAGGCCCACGAGCAGCAGGTCTGAGCCCCACGAGGCACGAAGGATCACAGCGTTCTCAGAGCGGCTCCTCAGCTCCAGGTAGACGTTAGAGACGGGATCAGAGAGGGAGCCGCCAGCGCTGAACTGCACAGGGTTGTTCTCAAACGTGGCGTTGAACACACCTACGGGTCAACGTGGAGAAGAGTGTGCATCGTTATTTGTATTTTATGTCATTTTATTGTGAGTGACATTTGTTTGTTGCAGAGTATGGAAGCAAGTAAGAGACAGAATGATTTGAATTTGATCAGACACCGAATTTATAGCATTGAAAATGTTTACTTTGAAAACCATGTATCTGATTGTTTTGTTCCGAATTCATGTGAAATAAAAATCTGAAATATCTTGATACGCAATTTCAAAAGCTGAATTTCAATGTATTTGTTTCAGTGTTCACAAATTCAGATCTAACAATTCAAAAAATTCGAATGGTAAATTCGGAACAAAAAAATTCAGATACATGATTTTCAAAGTAAACATTTGCAATGCTATCATTTCGGTGTCTGATACAATTCAAATCATTCCGTCTCTTATTTGCTTCCATAGAAGAGCTATAAAATCACCCATCATCCAAACATATCGGGGAATCACTGTGTGTGTGTGTGTGTGTGTGTGTGTGTGTGTGTGTGTGTGTGTGTGTGTGTGTGTGTGTGTGTGTGTGTGTGGTCTAGCATTACTATACTTGTGGAGACCTAAATCTGTTTACACAGTCACGTGTGGGGACTCGCCTCCCTTATGGGGACAAATTGGAGGTCCCCATGAGAGGAATCATTAATTTTAGGGTGAAGACTTGGTTAGGTTTAGGATTAGGGTTAGGTTAAGGGTTAGGGTTAGGCATGTGTTGGTTATGGTTAAGGTTAGGATAAGTCTCCAGGAAATGCATGTAAGTCAATGTAATGTCCCCTGAAGTGATGTATACATGGTGTGTGTGTGTGTGTGTGTGTGTGTGTGTGTGTGTGTGTGTGTGTGTGTGTGTGTGTGTGTGTGTGTGTGTGTGTGTGTGTGTGTGTGTGTGTGTGTGTGTGTGTGTGTGTGTGTGTGTGTGTGTGTGTGTGTGTAAAAATACCACTAAATAGTATATAAAACGTAAAATTGAATTATGATCATATTTTTATTTTAAAGCAGATTTATAACCACAAATCCTAGTGTTGATATGCTGTACAATCCTGGAGAGTAATCATTTTAAAATCCCGTGAAAACACTCAGCTCTTAAGACAAAATGTCTTTATTCAGTTGTAATACTTTAACTACATTAGCATGCTTCTTGTATCATCAAATATCTTCACGAATATTTAGCTCATACGGCGAATTGAAGACAAATAATGGATGTAATGTAAACATAAAAGCTCTGGTATTATCCAAAGAAGTGGACTTATTTCTGACTAGCCACAGTTATGAAATCATGAAGAAGTTCTTACACTCGTATCCGTCAGGCAGGTCCACACAGTGTCCCCCGTTGACGCAGGGGTTGCTGACGCACCACACCCGCGTCTCGCAGGTCTTTCCGGTGTATTCCTCCGCACAGGAGCAGGTGAAGTCGTTGAAGGTGATGGTGCACCTTCCTCCATTCTGACAAGGCTTCGTCTGAAGAGGGAAGCATTGAGAGTGAATATATATTATAATATTTATAAAGACCACCACGGAGCCACAGGAGGTCTTTCTAGCGGCCATCAAACTCGAGAGTTGGAGAACTTCCACACTAAAACTATGTGTAATATAAATATCATTACCATTACAAAACACTCGCTGCTATATAACATGGGCAATATCATTATTATTAATTGTTGATAATGTTCTATGATAACGTATCGGCCACTACGATTTTTGCACTTCTAAATACTGTCAATATTTACTTAATTATGTGACCGTCTATGTTTCCTGTAGTTATTGAATTGCTGTTTTTACTGCACTGTTAATGTTCAGTTTTATTGTTATGCTGCTGTGTTTATTGTATTTTTGTAACTCTGGTACAACAATTTCCTTCTGGATGAATAAAATCTTATCCTAAACATATAAGGAACTCACACAAACTGAAAACACTGAAACGTTGACTTCAATTAAATGTTTAATGTCAACAGATTTTACACAACTGCATTAGGTTAGTTGAAAGCAGTTATATTAAGTTCAAATACAAAATATTTGGGTTCAGCTTAATAATATTGCTTTCAACTAACCTATTACAGTTAGGTTGACATAATACATTTAATTAAAGTCAACGTTTCCGTTCTTTCAGTGCAGCAAATAACCTCAAGAGCAGACTTGAAACAGTATTTATAACTCTACTAATCCACCAGATGGTGCCATAACCATGATGTGATTTCCTACAGGATGCCTTATGTTTGAAAATCTGCTTCCATGAGGACACATGGGAACGCTTTTAATTGAGATAATAGACATCGATAAACCAATCAAGGCTGTGTGCGGTCATCCTGATGCTACACATATCTATTTTAAAGGTCCCATGTCATGCTTTTCCGGTTATTACCCGTCCCCTTGTGTTATGAAGCTTTTTCTGCATGTGAACGGTCTGCAGAGTCACAACCCCTCAAAGTACACCCTGTAGCGAGTAAAACTCTAACACAGAGAAGACCTGTCTGTGCTGCCCCAGAACGCCTCGTTGGAGATTTCTCTTTTTCCATTGTTTACTTCTTGGGTATAGTGACGTATTTCGGGTATAGTAACGTAACGTAACGGCTAGGCGGATTGGTCCATTTGTAACGCCTAGCCGGAGCTGTTACGTTACGTCCGGAGCCGTTACGTTACGTCCGCGGAGCCGCTACGTTTGGACCAATCCGCGGACTTCCTCACACACACACACACACACACACTCGGCGGGACGTTGCGAGGCTCGCTGCTGCGAGGAGCGGGACACTGAGCTGGCTCACTGGTGTGGGGTCGGCGAGACGGCGAGACAGCGAGACACCGCGGAACTCAGCCTGTGTTTTTCGGGCTGGGTCTCGCTGTCTCGCAGATGGCCACTGGGCTCACGGGGGGAGGGGGGGGGGCAGGAGCTCCAACAAGCCGTGTAGGATAGAGAGTGAATACACACACTATACAGAGATGCTGTGAGAAACCAATGTGAGTTTGGAACATTGAACAATATAAATCTATTCTAGTAGACCTCAACAATGGAATTATGATCAGTAGAAATGGCCATGACATGGGACCTTTCAGTGGTGGAAAGTAAATAAATATATTTACTTAAGTATTGTACCTAAGTGCTTTTGGACATATTGGACATACTTGGGCTACTTTATACTTCTACTCCACTACATTTATTTAACACTCAGTAACACAGGTACTTATATATATAAAATAAAATACATGATATTCTGGTATAAAATAAATGTAGTGGAGTAGAAGTACACAGTAGCATAACATGGAAATACTGAAGTAAAGTACAAGTACCTCAAACTTGTACTTAAGTACAGTACTTGAGTAAATGTACTTAGTTACATTTAACCACAGGTAAAGCTCTCATACACACAAGTCAAACTTTTCGTTCTCTAGGTTCTGAAGGACCAAAACTGTGAAGTAGCAAAAAATGGAAATACTCAAGTAGCGAAGTCTCTCAAAATGTACTTTTAAGAACATTTAAATGAAAGGAGCCCCTCTCACCCTGCAGGTGTCGTCACTGACGCAGCCCTCCTTTATATGTTCAGCGTCGCTCGGCAGATACACCTCCTCGTCTTCAGAGCTGTTCCACGCGTCCACATCCAGATGCACCGAGTCCAGCCTGAGGTCCTGCAGGCATCCTTTATAATTCCCCCCCCAACCTTCAGAGTCCCACTCAGCTGGAAGCCCCCCCACAAAGGCCTGATCTCCACTGTTCACAGTCACTTCGGGGATCTCTCCTATCCCATAACGCAGGCCTAAGTGCTCAAGAATCACCTGTTTGTGCTGCACCTCCACCTGAAGGAGCTGTTTTTCGCCAGTCGTCACGAATATGGGGGCTGTCAGAGGGGCACTGTTAGGCAGAGAGCTGACAAACAGCCTCCCCATGCCCAGGTAGACGGAGAAATAGACCTCTCCCTCCTCTTCCCGCCCCACTGATTGTTTCCTCAGCTGGAACAGCAGTCCGTCCGGCTGTAAGGACCTCAGGAAGAAGGAAACGTTGAAGCTGCTCTCGTGGCTTTTCCCCACGTCGTACACACTGAAGCTCTTCGTGTCCTCGTGGCTGTACGTCCATGAAGGGAACTCTGCAGAGATGGCAAAAGTACACACATCCTTTATTATTACATTATTTTACATTTCATTTAGCTGACGCTTTTATCCAAAGCGACTTACAATTACAGGGACATTCTCCCTGGAGTAACTAAGGGCTAAGTGCCTTACTCAAGGGCACACCAGTGGTGGTGTTCCTGGCGGGATTTGAACTCACAACCTTCAATCTTCAGCCCACCTCACTATCCATTATTAGACCACCACTATCCCTTTACTCAAGTAGAAGTACAGATACTTGTGTTTAAAAATACTCTGGTGAAAGTAGAAGTACTGACTAAACTTCTTTACTCAAGTAAAAGTAAAGAGGCTTTGAAGTGTACTTCAGTAAAAAGTACCCATAACTAGCAGCTGCTTTAAAGAGTACCTGACCTCCCTTTATATTAATAGAACAATAATGTCATTGTTAGCTAATGAATGTTTCCATGCTGAACAACGGCAACATGACAACGTTTCCATTGGTCCCTCTTCTTTAGAGGAGACCAGGAAATGATGGATACACGGATCGTGTTCAAATCAATAGGCACGCAATGACTCTAAAGAATAATGATCACGCACCAAACACACATTCAGACTAAAGGAACCAGCTGTTTGGAGAATGAGAGAAGTAGAAAGTACAAGTATTTGAGTTCAACATGTAAGAAGTAGAAAGTACAGGTATTTGTGTTCAACATGTAAGAAGTAGAAAGTACAGGTATTTGAGTTCAACATGTAAGAAGTAGAAAGTACAGGTATTTGTGTTCAACATGTAAGAAGTAGAAAGTACAGGTATTTGTGTTCAACATGTGAGAAGTAGAAAGTCGTCAGAAAAATAAGTAGTGGAGTAAAGTACTGATACCAGAAGAATGTACTGTAACAAAGTATTTGTACTCCACTACTCCCCAGTGGCGGGACATGTCTATGTTAGTACCTTCTTGTGCATTGAGTACTGTATTAAAAAAGAGAGACTTACCTTCAGAGCAGCTGTCACTGTGGTACGGCCGGTAGCAGTCACATTGAAAGCTGATCCACAGATCCACACAGCGGCCGTTTCCACTGCAGGGGTCCGGCTTACACCATTCAGTTTTACTGCAGCCCAGCTCATGAACCTGGTCTTCAGGAAGAGTTTGAGGCAGAATGGGTTTAGAGTCGATCATCAAGTCCTCCATGCATCCAATAAACCCTGCTCCGCTCACAGAAACCTCTAAAAGCTCCTCTGGTGCTCCTCCTATATAAATCTGAGAGAAGGCTTCAGAGGGCTGGAAAGGCGGTTCATCAGCACCTCCGTCCGTCACTCTGCACCCGTCTCTGTCACATCCTGGACCCCTAACGATCAAAACCAATCCTCCGTCATCTACAAACACATGAGCGTCCCTCCATCCTCCATCACTGACCAGACCAGGAAACCTCACATCCAGCTCAGACTCCTCAGAGAAGGCTTTAGCGTGAAGACCGCCATTCACGATCTCCAGAATGAGGTGGTTGTCCATGTCTCCTCTGTAGAAAAGCAGCATGTTGGGAATAGTTGTCCTGAAGCGTAGTTGGACCCCGAGACCCCGATGGATCTGGTGTTCAACTTCCCTTCGTGTCCTCTCCTCCAGATCGACCTGGATGAGGACAAACCCAGGGGTGGAGAAGGAGAAGGTTGTTCTGGTGGAGCATTGCTCATCGTAGAAACCGTGAGGGCAGAGGCAGGTGTGGCCGTGGTTCTCCTCCGATAACCAGGGGTGGCAGGTTGCTCCATTTTGGCATTCGTGGTCCACACAGCCGTAGAGTTTCACATCACAGAGGTCTCCTCCCCAGGGAAGTTCTCCCGGCTCTTCTTCAGGACAGTGGCAGGTGTAGGAGGCACGGCCGTCTTCACACCAGCCTCCATTTTGACAAGGCTGGCTCTCACACTCATCAATATCCACCTCACAGTGCTCACCTGGAGGGAAAACACACTTAGGGTTAGATATGCTGCTAGCTAGGCATCCAATTCTATTTCAATAAGATCTATAATTTCACGGGAAGACTAGGAGTAGAGGAGTGTGAGAATTTGGTTAGGGATGTTGTCAAATATCTGGAACAAACTCCCAGAAACCTGCAGGTCCGCTGCAACTCTGACTACTTTTAAATCCAGGCTGAAGACTTTTTTTTACCTCTCCAACTCACCGTAAAAAACCGTATTTAATTTCGCCTTACTGTACAATATTTACATCCTGTTCTCATATTCTATTTACATGTATATAGACTTCTTATAGTATTTTATGATATATGTTGCATCATCAGGTCATAAGATTTCCATTTCTACACTGTAGCGTAGTGTGTTTTTGAATTAAACATAAAACAAATGATTGCCTCCCAGACCCACCTAGAAATCCCTGAGCGCAGGTACAGGTGTATCCGTTGATCTGATCCTCACAGGTGCCTCCGTTCTGGCACGGCTCAGACTCACATTCATCGATGTTTACGGAGCAGTTCTCTCCTGTAATGTCAAATACATTTGTCAGGAGATTTCAGAAGGTGTGATCGAGATGTTATGGCTGATGGGTTCTCTTTAGTTTCTCTCACCTGCGAACCCTTGCTGGCACTGGCAGATGTATCCAGCTGCGTCTGCAAAGCTCAGATCCCAATCCAGATCCCAGTGAGACGGGTCGGAGCGCTCGAAACACTCCCCAGCGTTTTCACACGGCTGCTCAGCACACTCATCGATATCCACCTCACAGTTTGGTCCCTCATAACCTAGAGCACGACAAGAAAAAAGTGTCACATGTGTTTGAGAGCTTTACCTGTGGTTAAATGTAACTAAGTACACTCTACTTAAGTACAATTTTGAGGTTTGAGGTCTATCTTATTCTACTCCACTTCAATTCAGAGGTACATGGTGTACTTTTACTCCACTATGTATTTAATCCCTTTAGTTACTTCACAGATGTGGATGAATGATGTGAAATATAATCAAGTGTTGAATCAGACTTTAGTTCCACCTGGAGTAAATCCACAAGCTACCCTGCAGTATACAAAGTCATTCAAACTAGCTGCACCTTCACCAGCTTTGAGAACACTTTCATGATCAATCATTATAAAACATATCATATATATTATTCTGAAATGGACCAATCTGCACAACGACTACTTTTACTGTCGCTACTTTCACTATATTTTGATGAGAATACTTTTCTACTTTCACTTGAGGAACATTTTGAATGCAGGACTTTTACTGTGACAGAGTATTCCTACACTCTGGTACTTCTACTTTTACTCAAGTACAAGACCTGAGTACTTCTACTTTTACTCAAGTACAAGATCTGAGTACTTCTACTTTTACTGAAGTACAAGACCTGAGTACTTCTACTTTTACTCAAGTACAAGATCTGAGTACTTCTACTTTTACTCAAGTACAAGATCTGAGTACTTCTACTTTACTCAAGCACAAGATCTGAGTACTTCTACTTTTACCCAAGTACAAGATCTGAGTACTTCTACTTTTACTGAAGTACAAGATCTGAGTACTTCTCCCTCCTCTGCTCTTCACCATCCTAACATGCTGTATTGTTAAAGAAAGGAGCATCATGTAGTTCCTCACCTGGCCAGCAGAGGCAGGTGTATTCTCTGACTCCCTCTGAGCATGTGGCTCCGTGCTGACAGGGATCAGAGGCACATTCTGGGATGTCCAGCTCACAGAAGTCTCCCTGGAAACCTGTATCACTGCAGTCACACTCATAGCTAACACACACACACACACACACACACACACACACACACACACACACACACACACACACACACACACACACACACACACACACACACACACCACACACACACACACACACACACACACACACACACACACACCCACACATCAGTTTTATACAGCAGGACGACGAGAAATTATAATTCCCTTAAAGGTCCCCTACTGTTTTTCATCAATATATCACAGGTCTCAGATATATCCAGAGCCTGTCTCTGATTGGCTGAAACACCAAACAGATCATTGCAGCATTACCCATAATCCCCTCTGTTTCAGCCCTGTTTCCAAAGTGCTGATTCTCTGTCTGTTACTTTAGATGAAAATAAGGAGCCCCTCCCCACGCCCCTCTGAGAGAGATTTTGTTGCAAAGAACTCAATGGTGCTCTAGGAGGAGATTCAGGTAATAAGGGGGGGGGGGGGGGGGGGGGGTTACCTTGGTTGCTGATTGGCTAATGGTTACACAAGACAACACATCGTTATGACATCATAAAGTGGCCAAAATCTGATCAGCTCAGTATCTGGTGTGAGGGTTAGGGTTAGGGTAATGTTGTGAATTGAGTGGCCTGTGTTCGTCGTCCATAACATACGCCTGCCCATACCATAACCCCACCACCACCATGGGCCACTCGATTCACAACATTACCCTAACCCTACCCCTCACACCAGATACTGACTGGTTTTCGGACCCCCCCAGACCCCCCAAAAAAGCAAAACTGCACGTTTCAGAGTGGCCTTTTATTGTGGCCAGCCTAAGGCACACCTGTGCAATAATCATGCTGTCTAATCAGCATCTTGATATGCCACACCTGTGAGGTGGGATGGATTATCTCGGCAAAGGAGAAGTGCTCACTATCACAGATCTTTTCAGATTTGTGAACAATATTTGAGAGAAATGGTTATTTTGTGTTTATAGAAAATGTTTTAGATCTTTGAGTTCATCTCATGAAGAATGGGAGCAAAAACAAAAGTGTTGCGTTTATATTTTTGTTCAGTGTAGAAGAGACATGAAGAAGTGGATTTTGCATAATAGGTGACCTTTAAGTACAGTAACGAAGTATTTGTACTCCACTACTTCCCACCTCTGCATCTGATCTCACCTGTTCACCATGTCCTGACACACCGCTCTAATAAATGCATTGTATCTTATCTGATCTCACCTGTTCACCATGTCCTGACACAACGCTCTAATAAATGTATTGTATCTTATCTGATCTCACCTGTTCACCATGTCCTGACACACCGCTCTAATAAATGCATTGTATCTTATCTGATCTCACCTGTTCACCATGTCCTGACACACCGCTCTAATAAATGCATTGTATCTTATCTGATCTCACCTGTTCACCATGTCCTGACACACCGCTCCGTTGAGGCACGGCTCGCTGAAGCACTCGTCCACGTCCACCTCACAGTCGATGCCAGTGAATCCGGGCAGACACTGGCAGGAGTAAACGGAGATCAGGTCGAGGCACGTGGCTCCGTTGTGGCAGGGGTCGGACTCACACTCATCTATCTCCGTCTCACAGTTCACTCCTGGGGGAGGAGAGGTACAGCAATGATGATGAGGATGAAGAAGAAATCAAATATCTGGTAAATAAGGATTTTACATAAAGAAAGACAACGCATAATAAAAAAGGTAGTTTTGAAAGAGATTTCCCCAAAAGGAATCGCGGGAAATTACTTAAAGGTGGGGTAGGTAAGTTTGAGAAACCGGCTCGAGATAGACTTTTTGTTATATTCCATGGAATGCTCTTAACATCCTGATAGCAATGAATATCTGAAGTGCTTTGACAATAAATCCATTAAAAAATATCACCTGTAGAAGCTGTAGCGCTGTAAAAAGCACGACCAATCATCTAAAGTAACTGGATGGCCTACCTGCCTGTCAGCCTTCCATCTGGGCACAAACTTATCTCGTGCCCTCATTGGTCATGTGCGCGTTCGTGTGTGTTGGAGGAGGGGCTCTGAGAGGAAGTGGCAGATTTTTTCCGGCTGTGTATTTTCAAATTCTAGCGCACTCCAGCTGGTTTCTCCAAAATTACCTACCCCACCTTTAATGTTATTATCTTTTTACCACCGTTAATAATTTTGTTTATTCTTTTTTTTTGCACTATTTTAATGTATTTTTATATTTGAACCCATCCATCCATCCATCCATCCATCTTCTCCCGCTTATCCGTGGTCGGGTCTTGGGGGTATCAGTTCCAGCAGAGAGCCCCAAACGTTCCTTTCCCCTCATCAACCAGCTCTGACTGGGGGTTCCCAAAGCGCTCCCAGGCCAGCCAAGAGATATAATCCCTCCACCTGGTCCTAGGTCTACCCCTTGATATCTTCCCAGCTGGACGTGCCTGGAACACCTCCCTAGGGAGGCGCCCAGGTGGCATCCTAACTAGGTGCCCGAACCACCTCAACTGGCTCCTTTCTACACAAAGGAGGAGCGGCTCACCTCCGAGTCCCTCCCTGATGACCGAACTTCTCACCTTATCCCTAAGGGAGACACCAGCCACCCTGCGGAGAAAACCCATCTCGGCCGCTTGTATCCGCGATCTCGTTCTTTCGGTCATGACCCATCCTTCATGACCATAGGTGAGGGTAGGAACGAAAATGGCCTGGTAGACAGGGAGCTTTGCCTTCTGGCTCAGCTCTCTTTTCGTCACAACGGTGTGGTAAAGCGACTGCAGTACCGCTCCCGCTGCTCCGAGATACTTGAACTCCTTCACTTGGGGTAAGGACTCATTCCCTACTTGGAGTGGACAGTCCATCGGTTTCCTGCTGAGAACCATGGCCTCAGATTTGAACCGTTTTCTCTTTATTTATAATTTGTTTGTATTTGTCGTCTTATTTGTGATATATTTCTAACATACAGTATGAATGAAAAAGGCTATGTTGTTAAAATGATAATATCGTGGGTAAAAAAACGTGCCATTGTTTATCACATGATCCGTCACTTTTTAAAACAACACTCCCTAATGTCTCTCTATCAGGCTGTCGTGGTGTTCTTGATGAAAGCCTTTCTTTAGATCCTTCCCAGGGGAATGCTGATGTGACCCCTCAGATAACACGAGCTCCTCTGACACTGAGCAGGCTCCAGAGAGAGAAAGGAGTGTAAGGAAAGCGAGACAGGAGTGTTTTCTCTCACACAAAGTCTTTATCTGAGCCTCAGATAAGACGCCTGACTCACAGCATCTTACTGTGCACTTAAAATACTCCTCGTGCCCGCTTTATCAGGACAGACAAAACACTTCAGTATTCAGGGAGCTCAACGAGAAGCAGAACAAGAAGCGAGACCTTGTGATGATTCACGATTACATCTTAAACTAATCTTTTTTTTAATTATTATTATTACTGCACATATTTTATTCTATCACATTGTAAATACTGCCATATTTTATTCTACTATATTTTGTATTATTTGTAATGTTATTATAGTTTTATTTTCTTATAATAGTTCTCTATCTGCGTTTTACTTTTATGTATGCACCATGACATCAAGTCAAATTCCTCGTATGTGTTAACCTACCTGTTAATAAACCCGTTTCTGATTCTGATCAGTTTTATTTTGAAATGCATCACCTCTGTGTCTCGTCTAGTTTTACTTCCTGTCGTTAGTTTCCCTCCAGTGCCTGATTGTCTCATTGTGTTTGGATAAAGCTTGCCTAAGTTCATATTCATTCAGCTGCCTCCTCTGTTTTTATACTGCGTTTGGGTCCTTATATTCAACCCTGACAGCAGAGCTTCTATCTCTGTAACAAAATCAAGTTATTTTATTGTATTTCACTAAATCTGTTAAGTACCTGCAACTTTGAACATTGTTTGTCAGGTCTCATCATTAGACTGATTGGCTTTCAATACTCAATTCTGATGATTCGTAACACATTTAAGTTGACATGAAGCTTTAATTGTCATGTTCTTAGTTTTGGTTTCCTGTTTTATTTTGAAATTCATTTAGTCTTGTCTTACTTCCTGTCCCCCAGCTGTGTCTTGTCGGTCTTGTGTGTCTTTAGGCCTGTCTTTGTTGTCTGCCACTTCGTCGTCATTGTTTCCTCGGGTAGGTTCCTGATTTCCCTCGTTCTTTTGTACTTATGGTCTTATAACTATTTGTACATCCATGTGACATCCCTGTAGCCTACATATGCTTCTAGCTTAGCTTGTTATGAAAAAAACATGCATATAACTTGATTGTGCAGCACAGGGTTCATGTTTTAATAGCTATTTTACAAAAAAAGCCCAGGCGAGCCAAACATATGAAAAAAGGGCTTTAACCTCAGAGGGTTAGGTGTGTGTGTGTGTGTGTGTGTGTGTGTGTGTGTGTGTGTGTGTGTGTGTGTGTGTGTGTGTGTGTGTGTGTGTGTGTGTGTGTGTGTGTGTGTGTGTGTGTGTGTGTGTGTGTGTGTGTGTGGTCTAGCATTACTATACTTGTGGGGACCTAAATCTGTTTACACAGTCACGTGTGGGGACTGGCTTCCCTTATGGGGACAAATTGGAGGTCCCCATAAGGGGAATCATTAATTTTAGGGTGAAGACTTGGTTAGGATTAGGATTAGGGTAAGGGTTAGGGTTAGGGTTAGGCATGTGTTGGTTATGGTTAAGGTTAGGATAAGTCTCCAGGAAATGCATGAAAGTCAATGTAATGTCCCCTGAAGTGATGTATACATGGTATGTGTGTGTGTGTGTGTGTGTGTGTGTGTGTGTGTGTGCGTGTGTGTGTGTGTGTGTGTGTGTGTGTGTGTGTGTGTGTGTGTGTGTGTGTGTGTGTGTGTGTGTGTGTGTGTGTCATTTGAGTTTACTGTACCTGCGAATCCCTCCAGGCACTCACACTCGTAGTGGTCCTTCTCGTTGATGCAGGTGCCGTTGTTCTCGCAGGGTCGTGACGCACACTCATTGATGTCGATCTCACAGTTGCATCCCTGGAACCCGGGCACACAGAAGCAGTGAAACTCCGCCTCTCCGTCCAAACATATGGCTCCGTTCTGACAGGGCTCGGACAAACACTCGTTCACATCTTCCTCACACGTCTTCCCCTCGAACCCCGGTGCACAGTGGCACTCAAAGCCCTCTCGTCTCAACAAACACGTGCCGTTGTTCCTGCAGGGTTCATCGATGCAGTCGGTCACGTGTGTCCCGCAGTCCTGTCCTCCGAAGCCTTCAGAACATCTGCAGAAGTATCCGTTCAGCTGGTCCACACACAGGGTTCGGGGCTCAGAGCAGGGGTTACTCTCACACTCGTCCACCTCTTCTGTGCAGTTATCACCTGCCATACCGTCCGGGCAGATGCAGTAATACTCTGTTTCCCCAGGGGTGCTGGAGCAGTCTCCACATGGAGCAAAGGAGCAGGCGTCATACAGTTCGTCGCAGTGTTTGCCCATGTATCGAACACCGTCTTTGGCACAGATACAGGCGTAGTCGTTCATGTTGTCCACACAGGTAGCTGCATTCTGGCAGGGTGCAGAGAGACAATCAGTTGCAGTGGCGTTGCAGAATATTCCTGAAAAACAAAGAAAGAAATAATCAATGCATGTCAAAAAACACATCTGCTACAGAGCAGTGTTAGTTAAAGGCCCTCCAAGAAGAGTCAGCCATTCCTGTGCAGGACTCACATCGCTGTTGCAGCCTTATCCATTTCTGCTATGCTACTCAGATCTGCCAGAAGTCAAAGAAATAATTGCACTATTCTGTCCGGCTGTACTCAGTGGCGGTTCTAGACCAATTTGACTGGGGAGGGCCACTGGGGGGCCAGTTATTTTCTGAGGGGGGCACAATAAATGCAGGACGAAAAAGAGAACTAGACAGTATGAAGTAATTGCGCATAAGAAAACAATGCAATACAGTTATTGGTATTTGTTTCAGTACACTTATTTATTTCAGATAGATCTTATAGTTATTACTGTTAGCTTCAGCTTAAGTTATAGTGCAATGTTTGCACTCACACCATATTTATATAAAAATAAAGGCAATGAACAGTTACATCTCTACTTTACATAAGGGTGTCTGCACAATCTCACATTACAGCAACAAAATCCTGCGGTTTTTGGCAAACCGAGTACCAGAAAATATACATTTTTTAAAAATAAAATAATAATAATTCATTGTTAGGGGGGCCACAGGGGGGTCAGAGGTCAGTGTTAGGGGGGCACTGGCACTGGCCCCCCCTAGAACCGCCCCTGCTGTGACCTGTCGCTATCTTGTTGCTATGTAAAATGTAGGTTTTTCACAAATACATAGATAGCATTATGACATATAGGCCCATTGATATCATTGACAATATACCGTATGTCTCCATTCAGCAGCATGATGTTCTGAAATGACCCTGTGGCTGAAATAGCCTCCCTGGTTTTAAACCTGTTACAGTTATTTATTCGTAGCTCTAATCTGCTCTTCATGTGTGGGAGAGGGGCACGGGTCAGACTGTTCTCAGCTCAGCCATGCTTACAGTGTGCCAGTGACTGATTGCTTTTAACCTTAAAACTGGATCAGATACGTCTTGATGTTTGATGTAGAATGAATGTGATGATAAGACATTAACGAGAGATTGATGAGGGGTTTCTGATTTGAGATGGGAAATGTTAGAGGAAGTTAGCCTCAGCTCCATTTATTTACATGTATTTTGAAGCAGCAGTGTGTACTTGTGTTTATTCACAGGGTGATATGCATTGAAGTACAACTACTCAAGTATTGTACTTAAGTACGATGATGGAGTACTTTTACATCACTTGAGAATTTATATCTTCTGCTACTTCTACTAAAATGAGAGCTGTGCAGGTTTACATAGTGGTAGTGTGGAGCAGAAATGTGCAACATGTTGTGCAGGATTTACATTTTTTAAAAGAATAAGATATCTCTCTATTTGTTTGACATTGTGTTTTCACCATGAGCACAGACAGGAGGTTTCCTACTTTGTATGAATGAGCTTTTCGTCAATCTTTTTCCACTAATAGGCTTTTACGTTTTTGTTTTCTAATACAAGCTTCTCCTCAATTGTCTACATTGACCTCTCCAGTGCCTTTCTGAACCGTTCATAGATCTCAATAAACGCTCTGAGCCGTACGAAAACAGCAATAGGCTCAGAAAAACAAGGGCTCAGATCTTGTACTTGAGTAAAAGTAGAAGTACTCAGATCTTGTACTTGAGTAAAAGTAGAAGTACTCAGATCCTGTACTTGAGTAGAAGTAGAAGTACTCTGATCTTGTACTTGAGTAAAAGTAGAAGTACTCAGATCTTGTACTTGAGTAAAAGTAGAAGTACTCAGGTCTTGTACTTGAGTAAAAGTAGAAGTACTCAGATCTTGTACTTGAGTAAAAGTAGAAGTACTCAGACCTTGTACTTGAGTAAAAGTAGAAGTACTCTGATCTTGTACTTGAGTCAAAGTAGAAGTACTCAGATCTTGTACTTGAGTAAAAGTAGAAGTACCAGAGTGTACTGTAGGAATACTCTGTCACAGTAAAAGTCCTGCATTCAAAATGTTCCTCAAGTAAAAGTAGAAAAGTATTCTCATCAAAATATAGTGAAAGTAGCGACAGTAAATGTAGTCGTTGTGCAGATTGGTCCATTTCAGAATAATATATATGATATGTTTTATAATGATTGATCATGAAAGTGTTCTCAAAGCTGGTAAAGGTGCAGCTAGTTTGAATGACTTTGTATACTGCAGGGTAGCTGGTGGATTTACTCCAGGTGGAACTAAAGTCTGATTTAACTCTTGGTTATATTTCACATCATTCATCCACATCTGTAAAGTAACTAAAGGGATTAAATACATAGTGGAGTGAAAGTACACCATTTACCTCTGAACTGTAGTGGAGTAGAAGTACAAAGTATAATAACATATAAATAATCAAGTAAAGTACAAGTACCTCAACATTTTACTTAAGGACAGTACTTGAGTAGATGTACTTTTAAAAAACCCGCTATGTGGACACAGGCCTTAACTAGGGCATCATCCCATGTTAGTTTTCAAATTTGGTGAGGATTAAATGAAGTTGAGGGGCGACTTGTATGCAGGGAGATTGTTTGACTAAAGGAGTTAAATAAGAGAATCATTTGGCATGCAGTTTTATCTTTCCACGGGCCCATTGTCTTATAATCTGTCGGTGGCCTCCTGGGAAAACTACTAGGATTTCTTGTGTTGTTTCACAAAGACGAATGCAAGCACGAATGTCCCCGCTAATAATTTATTACCTATAATTGTGATTCCTGTCTCATTTAGCCAGTGCACGTTATGACTGTTCCGTGCATGTATTCTCCTGTATGAATGGCTGCTGCCGGGGTCGTTGTGTATGTCATATCACAAAGTGTACGGGACTTACAATACACACACTGTCTCCTCGCAGCAGCCAATGGCATCAGCTCTCTGGGGAATGAGTCCACATTCCTTTTATTAGGCCAATGTCCACTCCCAGTTCAACCCCCCCCCGTCCAATACTGCCAGCCTCCCAGCCCCCAACACTTTGATCAGTGTCCTGTTTCCAAATCGTCACTGAAGTGGAAGATATTAACAATGAATGGTGTTATGGAGGGGGGGAGGGG